CTTTCACAAGGTTCATGCAGATATCGTTCCACTCAAAAAAAAAAATAAAAAAAATTCGTTCCACTCACAACGAAGGACGTTTACAACTTTACATATCTTTGTCCCCCCTTGGTGGGTCCAGGTCTTTTTTTTTCCTTTCAATCCAGGTCTCTTCTTTTATTTTTTCCACCCACCGCTCTTCTTTTTTTTTTTTTAAAACAAATAGACTCTGCCCCTAGGCTACCAGCCGGACCGCCCAGGTCATCCTGTTTTCCCGCATGGCCCAGCCGTGCAAGGACCAGGGGCCAAGTCCCACTAGCAGCGTTGAGCTACCTCAATGCCTGAATCTGGACGTGTTTGTGGAGACATGCAGTTCAGGAAACTCAACACCATTTCTGCACATCTCGGCAAAAACGTCCACAGTCAGACGTTGAGGTAGCTCAACGCTGCTAGTGGGACTTGGCCCCAGGGAAGGTCCCAGCAAAAACAAACAAACAAAAAAAAAAAAACCGAAAAAAACTATGCTATGCAGAAAAATAAACTGCACAACACAGCCAAATTCTTTACCAAATTTAAAATAAAAAATCAAATTAAAAAAGGATAATTTGCAAAATACCCCCATAAGTTGAGATTATGAGATATATGCCAAAGTGCCCCTGAAAGAGGTGGGTAGAGGGCAATGCCCTTTTGGGCCGAAATCTTTCTGTTGTGCCCCTGTCAGGCGGGTGTGCAACTTTTCAATCTGGACCTCCCCCTTTGGGCCTTGGCCTTTTGCAATAGCACCTAGGAAAAGTTGGCGAGTACTGGGGCATTTTGCAAAGTTGGACGGTATATTGCAAAGATGGGGGTCCAACCAACGCCGGGGGTATTTCACAAAATATTTTTTTGTCAGAGGGGCATTCCGCTCTACCCACATCTTTTTAGGGGCATTTTGGCATATATCTCAACTTGTGGGGGTATTTTGCAAATTATGCCATTAAAAAATTATATATATGTATTCTCTTTGGCCCGGCGGGGCAAGTGGTCCCAGGCCACTCTGGTAGCCTGCAAAGAACCCAGATCGTGAAGACAGTCGTCAACAATGCAAGCCCAGATAAATGTCAATCGGCTGATGATTACCAATAGTCAAAATCGTAACCAGACAGAATGAGATGAGGTAATCATACACAGACGAAGAGAGAGGAGGGAGATTAGACAAAGGAGAGGAAAGTTCAATGCCCACTCCTGCTTCGGGCTCCCTCCTCGACTACCACCTCGATAATCAATAGTCTGAACGAGTATCCGAAGTAACCTCAATGTGCCACGTCGCACGTCTAATCAGTCCCACATCAGCGCTGGAACAATGTCGACATGAAGACAGCCAGGTACGTATCCATGATCTCTCCACAGTCCCGATCTCCTCCCGAATGACGATAATCAGAACAGCAATACAAGTCACGTAGCTTTGCATCGTCAGAAAGAACACGTGGCAGCAGCCACATCAACGATAGCGCATGGCAGCTGCCACGTCAGCATGCCAAGAAGACAAGTGCAAGCCAGCCACCATGCCGGACCAGCAGCGCCTCGCCGAATCACAATGCCAGCGTCGCAGTGTCGAGCCAGCGTTGAAGTCAACGCGTGAAGTCTGCCTCAACGCAAGACAGAATGAATGAATGTCAAAGCCAGGAAGTCAGCGCTTATGTAGCGTTGACACGGGGTCTGGACCCCGGATGCTGCATCCCTCAGCCGTCCAGATCTCAATGCGAACGAGGGCCCAGATTGGTCTGAAACCAAATTCCCTCCGGCCTGGATGCTGTCTGGGTACCTGCGCAGAACAAGTGAGTGTATCCAACCAAGGGCCTGGGCTCAGTACCTTTGACTCTACAGTTGACTTTGACCCTTGAATTTCCAGTGTGCAGCATTTGGTCACACAGCAGACTCAGGCCTGGGCGTGTCTTGGTCACACAGCCCAGTGCAGACCGACTCAGGTCTGCGTGGCCTACTGGGGCTGAGTTCTGGGCCCCAGGCTACTTCTGAACAGGGTTACTGCATAACCTAGCTCTGCCCATTTTATTACGAAAGGAAATTGAGACCGGGACCTCCTCCACAAACAACCGGGAAATTTTGTACTGGTAATACTGGGACCTAAATTACCCAGCTTAGGTTCCGGCGTTGGGAAAAGGTCCAGTACAGAAATGGTCGACACACGACCCCTGTCCTGACCGTCCGCAGCCATGGACACGGAAAATTAAACCACAACGCCAGAGCGGAACGATTCCAAAAAAAAAAAATCCAGCCAGCTGTCGGACTGCCATTTGCGGAACCATGGAAACTATGAGGGGGGGCAGGCACAGACGAGGACTTTTCTGCACTGGATCTGGACGCATTTGGGCTTCAATACGTCCAGGGGAGTCCAATTTGTGGGTAACCTCTGAGGCAGGCCTACGTAGCACTATCGGACAGTAAATGGCAGCGGAGGAGGACAAGGATCGTGATTTTGAAAACTCCCCTCTGCCCACGTGCTCCTCTCCTCTGTCCTCTCCTCTCCTCTCCTGTCCTCTCCTGACAAGCCAGAATGATTTTCAATTGGGATGAACCGGAAGTTTCGTGGGAGGCAATCGGAAGGAGAGCAACAACGTCACTGCTGAACGGATGACTGCCCTGCTGAAGGTGGTGCTGCCTCACAGCCATAGGTTCCTTTGAGATGCCTCCTAGGTGTGCCGTTTGCAATGAAAACCTACTGATGTCTTCCTTCATCTAACTACGAACATTTGACGAGTATCGACCTCTCTCTTTCTCCTTTGCTCTCTCTCTCTCTCTCTGCCTCTGTCCGTCTACCTGCCTACCTATCTGTCTCTCCCTGTCTCTCTCTGTCTCTCTGTCTGTCCGTCTCTCTCTCTCTCTCTCTCTCTCTCTCTCTCTCTCTCTCTCTCTCTCTCTCTCTCTCTCTCTCTCTCTCTCTNTTTGCTGTGTGTGTCTGTGTGTATCTGGGACTTGTCTGTCTCTGGGACTGGAACTGGGACTCTGCGTCGCCTGAAATCCTTTCAGCTATCACACTTTTCTTTGGTAATGGTATGGATTCTAAGCAATTGACAAAACCTGCACAATTTCCAGAAAAAAAAAAGGGCCAAAAAAAGTGTTTTTCTAAGGGCATTGCAACATTCTGCATGTATCTGGACTGTGGCACAGACCGGATACATTCGGCCTGATCCAACGTTTTGAAGGTAGCTCCAGATACATTCGCAAGGCTGTGCAGTGGAGCTGAGGCCCTAAAACAGAAAAGTTTGAGGGCCTATTTATTTTTGTGGCAACGTTTCTGGGTTGGGGGTAATTGGCATGAGATGAAAAGTTTGGGGGGGGGGGGCAGCTGGTGTCAGTAATGTTTTTTTTGTTCCACCTGTCTGTTATATGAGAGGGAAAAATAGAGGCAGAGTAAAGAGAGATCTGGAAGGGGGAAGGAAAGAGAAGCTGTGATGTGATAAAAAGCTAAAAGGAAGACAGAAAAGATAGAATTGCACAGAGAAAAAGAACGTTTTTTTTTTGTTTTTTGTTTTTTTTCCCAATGCAAGAACGGTTTTGATGTGTCTAATGCTGTCTGTTGTTTCCTTCCTTTGTTTTGCAAAGTGCGCTTTTTTTTTTTTTTTTTTTTTTAAGAAATGGCATGATTTCATTTTATGAGCAAAAGGAGGCCGGGAATCCCGGAAAGTGCGCTCTTCTAGTCAATAGATGTGTGACAACTTACATGTGTGTATTTGTTTTTGAGCAAGCACGCCTCACACCATTTTCTGAATCTGATTGTTGCAGATATTCATTTTTTCTGTGCAAAGGAGTGAACACGGGGTATCGAAGACTTGAACCACACCAGTACTTCCAAAAGTCACGGCTGTAAACGAGCCACGATGGGCTGGGACGAACGGGCGTAGCGGCTCCAGTCCAAATTCATTGAAGTGGAAACGTCATGGCACTATTTTTCGCCGCGGCCGGTATCTGGGCGAGATCCTGGTGGTTTAACCACACCCTATGTTTCTGATTTAGGGTTTAAAGAGGGATGGCAGTTGCTTGGCATAGGCTCGTTCGGACTGAACACCTAATCGTCGGTTCAAGGCTCAGAGACAGAGTGGCAACAATGGGTGTTGTTTAGGACGCACGGAACAAAGGAAAATTCCGGCCCTGCCCCTGTCGTTCACCATAGTGGCAAAGGGTAATTTTGCCCCTGCCCCCGCCAGCAGATGGTTGTATTGTCAAGGGTAATAAAAAGTCCTTAACTAAGTAACATGGGGGGTGAGGGACCTGAGGGTCCTTTTGGGACTCTGGAGGCAATACTGCTTGCGCCGGTTATGTCTCTAACTTACGAGTAGCAATGGGTCCAGCGCGACCTGGATTGCTTTTGAGCACATGCGGGCTTTTGACATCGGGGTTTTCGACTAGGTCCTGCCGCGCAATCCACAGGGCCTTCTTTATGGTGTAGCTATAGTGTGTGAAAACACCACTAGTTCTCGGACCAGCCCTTCCGAGTGTAATAGAGCCTAATAAAGTTTAGCTAAGTTCGATCTAGACCGGTTTTGGGGTGTCTGAGAGGTAAAGCTAGGGCAAATTGGCAGCCCTTTGATTTGTTTTCTTTTCTTTACATGGGGTCTCTGATGTCATTTCCTGGGCTGTTCACCAGTGCTCCACTGACACTCTCTCGACCTTATCCCCGTGGCACTCTGAGAGAAATACGTACATCCTGGGAGGTAGCAGCGGTGGGGTTTAAGTGACTGTCGGTGCCGACTCATGTCCTTCCTGTCGCTGTAGGATGTCTCTGTCAGTGCCGGCATAGGTCCTTCCTGTGGCTGTAGGATGTCTCTCGATCTTACACGTGTTGTCAGGCGCGAAATGCAGACGCCCTTGGAGGTAGTCATGGCGGGTAGTAAATGCTGAACGCAGCAAGGAGGGAGCAGGCAGAAGGGAAGGCCGAGAGGGGGTGTATTGAGGGAGGTGGTCCTTTCTGTTGCTGTAGGGTGTCTTTCGACCTTACACGTGGCGCCAGGCGAGAAGTGACGCCCTTAGTCGTGGTGGGGTTTAAGTGACTGTCAGGGCATAGATCGTGCCTGTTGCCGGAGGATGTCAGTTCTTGGTTTGTTTGGGAGAGTTGAGCGAGGGTGGCGGGTAGTCGGAGGCTGAGAGCAGGAAGGAGGGAGCAGGCAGAAGGGAAGGCAGGAGAGGGGGTGTATTGAGGGCAGTGTGGGCAGCGTAGCTCAGAGGATGTGCGGTACCTGTCAGGATGCTAAGTTGTGCTTGTTCGAGGACGAAGGGTAGGAGTTCCACCTCCACAAAATACCAAAGAAAGGTGAAAGAACAAACTTCCAGAAAACAGAGAAGTTTTTCTTAGGTAAGTATTCATTTCTCATTTGCCCTGATAAAAGAAGAGGAGTGCATCTTCGTGGAACGATGACTCCTCGATTGATGACAAGAATTGTCACTTTTCCTGTCCGTGGACGAAGATGGGCTTTCCATGCCATGCCAGTGGCTGTGGAACGCTCCTCGTGCTCGTCTTCGGCGACATCTTCGGAAGAGCGATTGAGCTTGAGGGATGTTCTGCGGAAGCTTCGAGAAGCAAGGCAGATGAGCGAGCGAGCAACGATTGTAGAGAAGTTTGCCAGGAACTCTATGTTGAGCCAGTGGAAAGCGCTTGAAGTGTCCCCGCCAGGGTCGCTAAAGCATCGCGTGTATAGCGCAGGAGATCGTCTATTGAAACGGATCCCGCCAACGGAAAACTTCTTGTCCTCTGTCTCCCCTGAAACGTCAGGCGTGGAGGTTATCTACCCTGCGAGCCTGCCGGAGAATTTGGTTAGGCGAAGGGTGCGACATTTGGCAGTAAGCGGTAAACAGAGTCATACGCGGCGCATGCAGGTTGCGATTGCGCTGTTGCCGTTTTCCGCAGCGCTCTCAATCCTCCCTCTGCCCAATGTTTTCCTCTTTTGGAACCTCTTCAGGGCTTATGCGCACTGGCGGGCGTTGAACGGTAGCCGGGTTCTTTCTCCTCTGTTGACGTCACAGTCGTCCTCCTCGTCCTCGATGTCATTTTCAAAGCTTGCTTCTGTCGACGAAGCAGGTAGGGGCGAGTCGTCTCGATTGTCGAACTCGGACAGAGGAGACAGAGCAGGTAGAGGTAGTGGTGGGCTCGGCGAGAGGAGGATCGCAGTCAACACAGACGAGGAGGAGGGTAGTGATGCGAAAGATCGAGGGGAATCGGAAGGAGGAAAACGAGGGGGATGGAACAAACCTACTGCCGGTTCGAAGCTGACGATGGTGGCGTCAAGTGAGCTTGATGAACTGCTGGGATGGAAGGACCAGCAGTCGGACAGCTGGAGGAGAAGAAACCTGGATGATGGCTCTCCTGTGAGCGACGAGGTGCTGGGACGGATATGTCGGACGTACCACATTGACATAGAAACCGTGCTGAAATGGCGGGATTATAATTTTTAGGCCCTGGTATTCAGAGTAGGCAGTTTTGCAGAGCAGAGCAGAGAGAGAGAGAGAGAGAGAGAGAGAGAGAGAGAGAGAGAGAGAGAGAGAGAGAGAGAGAGAGAGAGAGAGAGAGAGAGAGAGAGAGAGNAGAGAGAGAGAGAGAGAGAGAGAGAGAGAGAGAGAGAGAGAGAGAGAGAGAGAGAGAGAGATGGGAAGACGGGCAGACCGAAAGACAGACAGAGACTGATAAATGGACATGCATGATGTCAGAGCGGGAAAAGCTGGAGGGGGTTGGGGAGCAAGAGAATGTTGTGCTGCCCCTTAGTCTACTTCAGAAAAGGAAAGAGATATCTTTGTGTTGCTACTCGGTGGCATGATGCGCGAGTGAGTGAGAAAAAGGTGCAGGAGGGGTTGGGAAGCAAGAGAGGGTTGTACCGCCCCTTCTCTCTTGTCTACTTCAAGAAAGGAAAGAGATATCTTTGTGTTGCCACTTGTTGGCTTGCTTAGATTTTGGCAGTGTAAAAGTGTTGTGCTATTTTGTTTTCTCCTGGACCAGTTCTGTGTACGAGTACGAGAAGGAAATAGTAGTTTGATTCATTGGGAGCGTGATCAAAGAGCGAAAGTACAGAAAATAAATATGGTCATATGTCTTTGTCTTTCTGTTTGTTTGTCTCTCTCTCAAAGAACGCCTCTCTATTCAATCATCTCATACCACTAGTACCTTTGTCGGTTCGGAAAATAGCGGGCCTCCGACCTTTTCAGGAGGCTGAAACGAAATGATGGCCGCCGAATCGCCGATTAGTTTTATCAATGGCAGCCGTCGTCGGGCCCGGCCTCCGAATTCTTCGGGGGCTCCTTTCTGAAGGGGCAAAGGTACGAGTGGTTTAAGGCAAGGTGATCTTTTATTGTAGCACGACTTCTATATCAGTGATTGCGTTGAGGCTCGAGGGTGAATCGCACCCGCGGTTACATGGTGGATTTTTGGGCAAAGTGGCATCCGTCACGATGGGTACGGTAAAAGACCGGGTAGGTAAAGATGGGTAGGGATGACGTAAAAATTTTCGGGGTCAGGTACGGGTAGCTTGGTTGGGACCGGGAGAATCTTTTTGGGTTGCGTACGACTTGGCATGGTTTTGCGGAGAAAAAGGGTCATGCTGGAGTCTGTACGTTGTTTTCGGGTTGGTGAGTTGGCAAGGTTAGGTGTACCTAGTGTTTTGATGAGAATTCTATTGCTGATCAGTGATCCTTTAACCATTGCTAATCTGTGTTATATTAATTTATACATTTATACTAATCCTATCATATCATGATTCATATGTAATTTGACTTATTTTCGTAAAATCTTTCTATTGGTTGGTACTTCTAGCACCATTTGGTTGTGTTCCAATTCTGGATTTTTTATGTTCGTTTTGGTGGTTGGAAAGATGTGAGTCGGGGACCTGCCGATCCCCCCACGGCGGCCTTCTCGCGTGAAGCAGACAAAAGATTCACCGGTGGTCTCGACTTCCTGCTCTGCTGTTCGGCCCAATTAAATTGGGTGGTGGGCTGACCTTTGGGGAAATTTGACTGAGTGCTAGTCTACCGGGCGGAGGGTCTGGCTGCACAACTCAGCGAATGTGTGAAATGGCAGTGAATGGATTCACGTGATGATCAGCCTGGGCCCTGTCAAGCCTCACGTGGTCCCAAGGCCTCAGTCCCAGATCGATTTGAAAGAGTTAAGGCCCTTAAGGGCTATTCCCCACTTAAAAGAATAATAATAAAGTACCTAAGGGCCAAGGGCCCGATCCAGAAGTTTCCAGTCAGATTTGAGGGTCAGTCCGGTCGAGTCAGTAGGGGTCAAATTTCGGAAGTCACAGGAAACCTTCTAGAAGTCAAGAGTCTTTTTTTTGTTTTTTTGTTTTACCTGTTCAGCTGAAAACTTCTAGAAGTTGGAGTCTCGCCTGTCCATCCGAAAACTTCCAGAAGTTGGAGTCTTACCTGTCCAGCCGAAAACTTTCAGAAGTTGGAACCTTACCAGGCGAATCTGAAAATTCTGGAAGTTGAAGGTCCAACCTTTGCAGCAGCTTCGCACGGAAGATTGTGGATGGTACCGACCCAGCCACACAGTCAGCTACATGGGACCGGTCCAAGAGGCCACAAACAGCCCAGTGCAATGAACCTCGCAAAATCCAACTCAAAATACAACATGCAATTTGAGAGCATGTAGATAGAGCCCACACGAGCTTGAGCTATGGCCATGAACAGTGCCCGTTCAAAGTTCCACTCAAAAACAATAATATACAATTTGAAAAGTTTGGGACTTAACGGTCTGAACTGCTGCAACTCGACTCCGGTAAGTGCCCGACTCTCCCCCTCTCCGATCTGCTTCTT